AACGTTTCGCCAGCACGATTGGCGAGTTTGTGAACTCGTCTAAGATGGAAGTACTTCTTGTATTTAACGGAAAGCTCATCAAAACGAAGACATGAACCATTAACCGTAGTTACTTCTTAATTTCCTGATTCTTTACGTCCAAATTATCATCGGTACAAATCGATTTTTTCAGTAGTTCGAAAATTAGTCGAATTATTTTGTAGATGGGCGGGTTAATTAAAGACGAGAAATTGTTGAATTAAGAAAAACAATTAAGTGCGAGTTATGCATGCATTTTTTTGCATTAGTGTTAAATTGGTTTCGCTGCATCTGTTAAAGCTGAAAAGTTACGTCTCAACACCCCTTCGGCGGGGGTGAGCGAACTTCCCCCAAATTGCTCGTGACCACTAACAAACCAATATATATCCTCAGCGAGTGGCGCACATCCACCACAACATACACCACCCTAACCCTAACAACTTCGTTCAGGCGACGAATTTTCTACTCCCCCATTCATTTTATTCTAGTCCGCAATTAACCAACAACTAATTGTTAAAAGTGATTTTCGTTAAAATGCATTAAAACACGCGTCCGTAACGGTTTTTAGCAATTGATCTAGTTTTCAAATCAGGGAAAGTCCCTTTAATCCAACAATAAATATGGGAATCACGTCTAAATCTTAAAAACATAATAAATACTGTACAATGTCATCGATTATATATCGATTTTTCGTCGATTTATCATTTATATAATAAATAAAAATATACGGTAAATGTCTAGATGATGTCATGGGATCGATAGAGGAGGTCTCCTCCACCACTGTACCATAGAAAGTTCGTGGCGGTCTCACCCCCATAAAAGGTTATGGGGGTTGAAAGTTGATTATTTTGACAATTTTCATACATTATAATTCAAATAAAATTCAATAAAAAAAATATTTTCAAGCGGGTGGAGGTGGGGGATCGAAAGAGGGTGGTTACTTGAACCTAACCTAACCTACCCTGTTGATAAAGATATTTAAATAATGTTTTATATAACTTTCTCAATATTTTTCCATTAGTTTTACCTTTGAATATTGTTTAAGAATGACTATATAAATATTTACAGCCTAGAAATGTATAAAAATTGGCATATTTATTAACTTTGAACTTCTATAACTTTTTACGGTACTTTTTATGGTACAGTGGTGGGGGAGACCTCCTCTTTCGATCGATCATCTAGACCTTTACCAAATATACTATATGATATTTTGCTCTTTGGGACATTTAGACACATGTATTTTTGTTTTGGCCCAAACCTCCGCTTGTGAAGCATTTTTATAGTCCACTCTGTATATATTGTATCAAATACCTATAAGAGAGAGAGAGAGAGAGAGAGATATCTGACAGTATAAAAGTGTCGATTTTATATCATGGATCATGTAGCATTCCATGTGTGATTTATGTTACCATGCCCACAAGTAAAATATAGAGGGTCGGCACTACGTACAAAAAAATAATCTGACTGACAGACCCCAAAAACTAAAGATATCGATCGTCTCTGAAGTATTCTTATCGTTATGATAGATAAAAAAGCGGCGCTCTCTGCGAACCATTAATAGTTATTTTTCTGTCGAGAGTTTTATCTGTAATACCTACAGCCACATGCATTCTGCAGGGATTACATACTTTTTGAAAATTCGATAAGCGCGACTCAAGTGTTAACGAAAGATTTATTTCATTTACGTCTACTTCTTTTTAAACATAACTTTTTTTTATTTCCATAAATAGGATTAACAATAACGTTAATAATTTTTGTTGAAAATTTTAATAAATGTAACCCACAAATACGTATAAAAGGGGAACTTTGGTGGGATAGGATCATAAGGAGCGCACACACATATGAAGACAATTTAAGATAATAATAAAACAAATAATGTGAAACATTAGTAACCGTGGTGCGTGCTTAGAAAATGAGGAAGTTTGAACACAGTAGATTTAATGCCCTTGTGTAGTAAGTGCGGTCGTGTTATTAGAGAAGAGCTTTTTATTTTGTCCAATTTAATTCACTGAATGGACTAGCGACTGACACCAACACTTACATCGTACGTGACGAGTTCTGTTCTTAAAAGCTTTCGGACCCGATCTTAGAAAAATTGATCTGTTTTTTTCTGTAATCGTAAAAAACGAAACATTTCAGAGCCGATGCATCACAACGTCTACCGAAATGAACATGAAAAGCCATATTATATTAATTAATTATGTTAAGACCAGGGTACATTTACCTGCCGTTTCCTTGAAAGATTAAGTTGGAAATTCAAATATTCAATTTTGTAGGTTTTTACAAATATTATATGTAAGTGGTTTAGGTGTAATTTAGGGTATCGAACTTTGCAGGTAACAATATTTTTAAGATACTTTATCTTCAACTACGTAAATAATATTAGAAACCAGTTGGTTAGCACTTTCACCCCTTCCTCTATCAGGGTGGAGATTATGTTATAAATAGGCTGATACACTCATAATGAGAGACATCAACAAAGAACAATAGAAACATCAAAAAAGAACAATTAAGACAACAACAGACAACAATTAGTAGCATCAGTGTAATCATCAAGTTCAGGGTCTTCAATATATGTAGTAACTGTATNGAACAATACAGACATCAAAAAAGAACAATTAAGACAACAACAGACAACAATTAGTAGCATCAGTGTAATCATCAAGTTCAGGGTCTTCAATATATGTAGTAACTGTATATATATAATATATATATTACTAAGTGCAGTTATTCGTGTTATTCATCACTGAGGTAAATTATTTGCACTTACAATCCTACCAAAAATTCGTGTGCTCCCTCATAGGAGAAAGAAGTGGCGCGGCAGCGCAAAAAAAATAAAACAAATTAATTACTTATTTAACAAACAAAAAAATTAATAAAGCAAATCTACATACACATGTATTGTCTAACATCTAAAAAATTTACTGATAGCTAAAGTTAAATGCGGATTTCCTCCGTGCCGTAAAATTGTTTCCTGAATAAATGTCATGTTCATTTAGGTATGTTCAGCTTAAAGTCTTAAATACTCGGGTAGACCGCAATTAATTCGAGTAACTGATTTATTTGCGTTCTGGTTTGATGTAGCACCCGATAAATCATGTTGGCCATAGCTTCAAACACATGTGCTACGTTATTGTTCCGATAGGTATTCGAAAATCTTTCTAAAGTTGTAAAAAACTAACTTTGAAATAAAATTTTAAGGAAGTTTCGATATTTAAAAATTACGGAAACAATTTAAAAGTTTTATAAATCGTTAATTAATAATAATTAGTAATAAAAACAAT